TCAAGAAAAGAAGAGAGATGATTCAAATAAGCTCAATCAGAAACAAAAAAAGGAGACGTTACAACTGATACAACAGAAACACCAAAAAATCATGAGGCCACTATGAAGACCTCTATGCACACAAACCAGGAAATCTAGAGGAAATGGATAAATTTTTAGAAATATACAACATATCAAGCTTGAATCAGGAAGAAAAAGAAATCCTGAACAGACCAATAACAAATAGCAAGACTGAATTGGTAATAACAAATCACCCAATAACAACAACAAAAAAAGCCCAAGACTAGACAGATTTATAGCCGAATTCTACCAGACATACAAAGAACTGGGAACTGGTACCTATGCTGCTGAAGCTGTTCCATAACATCAAAAAGGAGGGAATCCTCCCTAACTCATCTATGAAGCCAGAACCACCTGGATACCAAAGCCAGGAAAGGACACAATAAAAAAAAGAAAACTACAGAACAATATCCTTGATGAACATAGACGCAAAAATCCTCAACAAAATACTAGCAAACTGAATCCAACAGCACATTAAAAAGACAAGTCACCACGATCAAGTGGGTTTCATCCTAGGGATGCAAGGACGGTTCAACATGCACAAGTCAATAAACAGAATTCAAAACAAAAACCATATGATCATCTCAATAGATGCAGAAAAAGAATTTGACAAAATACAACAACCCTTACAAACTAGGCATAGAAGGAACAGTCCTCAAAATAATAAAAGCCATATATTAAAAAACCCACAGCCAACATCATACTGAATGGGGAAAAGATGAAAGCATTTCCCCTAAGAACTGGAACAAGACGAGGATGCCCACTTTCACTCCTTCAATTCAACATAGTACTGAAAGTCCTAGCCAGAGCAATCAGGCAAGAGAAAGAAATAAAGGGCATCTAAATCAGAAAAAGGGAAGTCAAACTATCCCTATTTGCTGATGATATGATCTTATATCTAGACAACCCTAAAGATTCCTCCAAAGAACTCCTAGAATTGATAAATGAATTCAGTAAAGTCTCAGATTACAAAATCAACATACACAAATCAGTAGCATTTCTATACACTCACACCAACCAAGCTGAGAATCAAATCAAGAACTCAATCCCATTTACAATGGCTGTAGAAAAATTAAAATACCTTAGAATATACTTAACCAAGGAGCTGAAAGATCTCTACAAGAACCACAAAACACTGATGAAAGAAATCATAGAAGGCAAAAACAAATGGAAAAGCATGCCATGTTCATGAATTGGAAGAATCAATATTGTTAAAATGTTCCACTGTAATCTACAGATTCAATGCAGTTCCTATCAAAATACTAACTTCATTTTCCACAGAATTAGAAAAAACAATCCTAAAATTCACATGGAACCAAAAAGAGCCCAAATAGCCAAACGCATCCTAAGCAAAAAGAATAAATCTGGAGGCATCACATTACCCAACTACAAATTATACTACAAGGCAATAGTAACCAAAATAGCATGGAACAGGTATAAAAGTAGACACAGAGACCAAAGGAACAGGACCCAGAAATAAAGTCGTATACCTACAACCAACTGATCTTTGACAAAGAAGACAAAAGCATACTCTGGGGAAAAGACACCCTATTAAACAAATGGTGCCGGGAAAATTGGATAGCCTCATGCAGAAGAATGAAACTGGATCCCTGTCTCTCACCATAGACAAAAATTAACTCAAGGTGGATTAAAGATTTAAATGTAAGACCTGAAACCATAAAAATATTAGAAGAAAACCTAGGAAAAACTATCCTTGACATTGGCCTAGGTAAGAATTCATGACTAAAACCCCCAAAACAAATTCAACAAAAACAAAAATAAATAAATGGGACTTAATTAAACTAAAAGGCTTCTGCACAGCATAAGAAACAATCAACATAGTAAACAGATAACTTACAGAAAGGGAGAAAATATTTGCAAGCTATACATCTGACAAAGGCCTAATATCCAGAATCTATACAGAACTAAAACAAATCAGCAAGAAAAAACAAACAACCCCATTAAAAATTGAACAAAAGACATGAACAGACATTTTCCAAAAGAGAAACAAATGGCCAACAGACATATGAAAAAATGCTCAACATCACTAATCATTAGGGAAATGCAAATCAAAACCTCAATGAGATATCACTTATTTCCAGTGAGAATGGCCTTTATCAAAAAGTCCCAAAACAATAAATGTTGGCGTGGATGCAGAGAGGTAGGAACACTCATACACTGCTGGTGGGACTGCAAACTAGTGCAACCTCTGTGGAAAGCAATATGGAGATACCTTAAAGAGATACAAGTAGATCTACCATTTGATCCAGCAATCCCATTACTGGGCATCTACCCAAAAGAACAAAAGACATTCTATAAAAAAGACAGCTGCACTCGAATGTTTATAGCAGCACAATTCACAATTGCAAAGATGTGGAAACAACCCAAGTGCCCATCAATACATGAGTGGATTAATAAAATGTGGTATATGTATACCATGGAGTACTATTCAGCTTTAAGAAACAATGGTGATATAGCACCTCTTGTATACTCCTGGAAAGAGCTGGAACCATTCTACTAAGTGAGGTATCCCAAGAATGGAAAAACAAGCACCACATGTACTCACCATCAATCAACACCTAAGTGCACATATAGGAATAACATTTATCAGGCATCGGACAGATGGGGGGGGATGGGTATATACAAACATAATGAGTGCGATGCGCACCATCTCGGGGATGGACATACTTGAAGCTCTGACTGGGGGCAAGGGCAATGTAACCTAAACATTTGTTACCTCCATGATACACAAAAATAAAAAAGGTGAAAGAAAAAAAAAGAAAAAAGAAAATATACAGGCAAGCCACAGACTGGGGGAAAAATGCTAGCAAAACATACATCTGATGAAGGACTTGTAGGATTCCTACGATTCAGTAATAAATAGCCTAATTAAAAAAATGGCCAGAGACATGAGCAGATATTTTAGAAAAATGATAAACCAATAAACATATGAAAAGGAGTTAAACATCATCAGTCATCATGCAAATTAAAATCACAGTGAGATATTTCACATCTATTATTATAATGGCTAAAATTAAAAAGACTGACAATACCATATATTGGCAAGGATATGGAACTGGAACTCTTATAATTGCTGGTGGGAGTGTAAAACAGTATGTACAAACACTTTGGAAAACTTTTTTGGCAGTTTCTTACAAAGTTAAACATATGCCTATCCCATGACCCAGCAATTCTACTCCTACTTATTTCAAAAATGAAAAAATAAGTCCACAAAGAATGTTCATAATAACTTTATTTACAATAGCCCCAAATTGTAAGAAACCCAAATTTCTGTAAAGAGGAGAAAGGATAAACAAGTTATGGTATACTCATGCAATGGAACACTGCTGAGTAGCAAAAAGAAACAAACTATGGATACATACTACAACATGGATGAATCTCACGCACAAATGGACAGCTCTAACAGGTGGGGTGACGGAGCCGGATACAAAAGTGAACACATTGTATAATTCTATTTATGTAAAATTCAAGAACAGGCACAACTAATGTATGACAATAGAAGTCAGAAAAATGGTTATTGGGATAGGAAGCGGGGAATGAATTCATGGCAAAGGGTACTTTCTGGGATGATGGAAGGGTTCTTTACCTGGATTGGGGTAAGGGTTACACAGGTGTATAGATTTATCAAAAGTGATGAACCATAATCCTAAAATATATGCATTTTACTGTCTACAAATTATATCTGAATACAAATGATTTTACCTTAAAAATTATGGAAAAGAGTTGTTCACAGAGAGATATGTGACTTACCTTCATTTACAACGAACAGCCTTGTCCTTTGATTCAGTTAGGTCTTCAATGTAAAACTTGAATTATTTATTTATTTTTGTTTTGAGACAGAGTCTCACTCTTTTGCCCGGGCTAGAGTGAGTGCTGTGGCGTCAGCCTAGCTCACAGCAACCTCAAACTCCTGGACTCAAGTGATCCTTCTGCCTCAGCCTCCCGAGTAGCTGGGACTACAGGCACGCGCCACCATGCCCGGCTAATTTTTTCTATATATTTTTAGTTGGCCGATTAATTTCTTTCTAATTTTAGTAGAGGCGGGGTCTCGCTCTTGCTCAGGCTGGTTTCGAACTCCTGAGCTCAAACAGTCTGCCCGCCTCGGCCTCCCAGAGAGCTAGGATTATAGGCGTGAGCCACAGCGCCTGCCCCTTGAATTATTTTTAAACTCATTAATTTCTTGGTGAAATGCTTCTCATAAAAGTTTTTTTTGTCCTAAATTTCTTACTCATTATTCATCATGTTCTACTTGTTGTGCATTAGAAGTTAAAGACAGAAATCACCCTAAAGATAGTCTAAACATAAAACTCCTTTTTAAATACAATAAGAGATATCTAGATAAATTGATTTGTCCAGGATCATATTCTTATTTCATTTCAGAAAAACGGTATATAAATCACGCATTATAAACCTCTGCAGATACTAACATCTGGGCAAAAACAACACTTAACTTTTAAAATAAATGTAGATTAAACAATTATGTATGTTCTAAGTGGCAATTGAGAAAGCTTTAGGAATGACTGTCAATGGGAAATTGGAATATTTTATATATAAGTATACACTGAATCAGTTACATATTTTTAAATAGCATTTATTTTATATGAACCAGGGCATTTCCAAATTTACAAGTGCTCTTGGCTGACCTTTCACGAATGATGCAATTTCTAGTTGAAGTGTGTTGGTCTTTACAGTTAGTGCATTTCTATCAGACCCTTTTTCAGGAGTTGTACTAATGATCTCTAAAACCTGGGTAATCAAAGAACTACACTTTTAAAAACTGCAGGCAGGGAAAGGCATAAATGATATTCCTGTACCATAATGGAGAGTAAATATAATAAAATTTAACTTAAAATAAGTTCAGCAGCACTGGTTGTAGTGAGCAGAGAGAGGCTTAAAATGCTTAAATAATGGAGAGACACTTAATTATATATGAAAATTTTTATTTGATAAATATAACTTCATAAACATTAAAAAATTACTGAGAGCTGTACAATAAGTATACTACACTTACTGACAATGCAGAGAATTTTTAAACGATTACATTAGACAGCCACAGTGTCTGAGGTCCAAAATTTTAAACTAAGTATTGCTACAATATTTCCAGATATTCATATCTCATAAAAACCTAACAATAACCATGATTACAAACATATCATTATAATCTTTTTTTAGGAATATCACCCATTTCACGTAAAACAGCACTTTAATAATGTTTTACTTTTATGAAAATATATAACTCATTTCAAGATAGAAATAAAAATGTCTATAAATGGGGACCAAAATTGATAAAACATATTTTATATAACTCTTTGGTGTGTTAGTTTTATTAACACCTGCTTATACCATACCCCAAACTGATCTTTACAGGAAAAACACAAACAATGGAAGATTTTTTTTACCCCTAGACTCCAAGAGATTTTCAGAGTAGCATATTTTAAATACTGTCAGCTCTGAATTGTCAAATTTTTAGTGGCCTCGACTCCTGCCTACCAGGAGTCTCAAGCTATCAGACAAATTCAATTTCACAATCTTCTGCAGTAGAAATAACCTAAGTCCTGGTACTAATAATAGGCTGAATGCAGGTATTTCATAACAGGGTGATTTGCCTTGTTTAATCTCCTACCTAGGATAGTGCCTGGGTTTGGGTCAGGTCTAGAAGCCTTTGTACATCTTAAAGCTTCAGACTCAAGGAGGAGGGCAGTTAGAAAATTCAGAGGTAAATTCTCTTCTTTTCTCAACTCACAGTAAACCTTGGTAGCTGTAGTTCTCCCTGGCCCACATTCTACTCCTCCCAGGGTGAGCCAATGCTTGCTGAAGCTGAGACAGGGTGCTGGTGCTGAGTCACCTAAAGCAGCTAATGGGCAATTTTGAAAACTGACTTGGTGCTTGCCACTATCTTCAGGCTACAGCCTCAGACTAGGCAAAGGCAGGCCAGTGAGGCAAATAGATTTGAGAACATTAACTAACTAGCAATAACACATTTAGCATCTTGTTCTGGTTTGGGCAAGATAAGAGTAACTATCAACATCATACTTTCCAAAAAATTTTAAAGAAATATGCATAAGGGAAACTTTTCTTGTGATTATTGGTTATGTGGTAATGGTTTTCCAATATGAGTATGAGCTTTACAAAACTATTGAAAGTTTGTAGACTACATTGTTACTTTCTTAAATAAATAGAATAAAACTCTTCATAAAATTACAAGATAATCTTCCTTTAAAAATGAAGTAGGTTTTGAACAACAGAATAGGATGAGCACACCAGTGGATGCCATTTACTTTTTTTTTTGAAATAAAGTTTTTAACTAACTTCAAATGGTGAGTGCAGAAAATTCCATCAATCACCCTTTAAGCACCACGTAGGCTAACTCATCTCCTGTCTTGCTGCAGTTGGTCACAGACTATTGATGACTTTGTAGTCCTCTAGTGTCAGTAGTTAGTTTAAGTGATGGCAAATAAACACTATAAGGTAGATGTAATGCGAGCCTACTGAATGTCACTTTGTTATGTGTACATTTTATAAGACACTCTATGAGAATGCAAGTTCCATATTGTCCTCCACTCAACTACTCTACTGAATATTTCTGCAATATTTCCTTTTCTGGAATATGAGTTGGTAAGTGTATACACTGTACATTGTATTACCTCTTTAACATATTTCCAGAAAAACAGATCTTCCTAAACACAACTCTGGAATTTCTAAGGGCTATTTTTGAAAATTAATATTTAGCCTGAAATTAATAACTTAATATCCTTGCATATCGAAACAAATGTTAAGAAAATAGTTTACTAGCAAGCAAAGGTAAAGCCTTAATGCTTGTCTCTACTATACTTTCCCCACCAGCCCAATTCCAGAAGTTTTATATTCATGAAATGGGAAAGGAGTGAAGAGCTGCACAATAAATCTCCAAAAAGGAATTATATTTTCAAGGAAAAATTTGGCAAAACCTCATTTAACAGTTTTTCTTACAATTTTAAATACATTCGTATACAATCATTATTTGCTTATAGCTGGGTAACAGTTCTTAAATTAATCATTTCTAAATCTTAAAATAACATCACTTTTTAACAAAACAAATGACAATACTGGACCTGTATGATAAATTTGGGATGGAAATTAAGTTTTGAAGTGCAATGAGTTAATCAAGGTAACATATACCCGAATAATCATTCTGAGCATTCATTTTAATTTATTGGTGCCATTACCTGATAAAAACTTAGCATTTTAGACTTTGGTTCATTTACATTCCACAGCCATGCCTGACATTATACCTTTCAATGGGACATTAGACAGAATTCACTTTACTGTGGTAACTTAGATAACATATGCTAGCCTAAAAATGACAATATTCTTAACTAAAATCCTTTATTCTAGCTTATAGAAAGGCAAGAGCAATTCTAAGTTGGCCACAGAAAGAAATTATTCTCTTTTTAATTTAGTTACCCATAATATTTTGATTTGTATAATTAAAAGTATTTGCAATATTTAAATACTGTCCAAACTTGTTTTTTATTGATATAGTTGAACTTTACAACATTGTCATAAAATACTATAAACAGAGCCTTCAGACAAAGAGAAAAAAAGCAAATTTAAATATATTAACTGGATTAAAGCATGCAAAAGATCCAATGATAAAGACATTAATAATATGCTAAGGTATCTAATTTACCCACAATAGATTGTTTATATTCTGTCACAAAAATATCAGTAAACATCAGTTTGAAATTTGGTGAATGGACCAGATTCCTGATTTACAGATAAGATATGATATACCTTTTATATTTATATGGCTAGCTTTACAGGTTGCATTACAGTACAGTTAGAAAAATTTAGTATTGGTATAAATTTACTACCCATACTGAAGTAAATAATGGTTGGAAATTATTCTCCTAATTTGCTCTGTGAACTTAGAAAACACTAATGAATTAACAATACAGGTCACCGAGGCACCAAAATTCCTTACTATTCACATTAACTTTTCCCATGAAAAGCTTCAAATATAACTCTAATAAAAAAATAGAATTCTCAAGGCAAACTTTCAGCATAATTTACACAAGCAGATTTAAATAGAAGAGTCAATAACCAAGCTAATACTAAAAAATACACATAACTAGGATTTATCTCTTTTCTACCTTGACATTAAAATATAGTGGCCTCAGCAACAGGCTGAAATGCCATTAAGAGTCCCATAAGCACAAGGGACAAATCAGACAAAGAGATGAAAAATGTCTCTTCATTCACAAATTTTAACATGTTCAGATTCAAATTAAGGGGCTTGTGTTAATGCTTTCTGTTTGTTTGCCATCTAACTCTGAGTGGGTATGAACTATTCCAGAGATTTCAGAAAGTAATTTCAGAGCTAGTTTGGCCATTAATAGGATGATCACATTGAATTTTAGGAAAGGAGGTGAAATGGCTCCCACAAAGTACTACTGCCCCTTTAACAAGTAGATGAGTCCATTGTGGAGAGAGTCAAGATGCTCCTGTCGTTGGTATAGAAAGGATCCGATGCACTCCATGATCTAAAGTAACAATAAGAGAAAAGTTTGGCTCACTAGAACCTATGTTTCAATTGAGAAAAAATTACCTCTAAAACTTAGGACCAAAATGCAAAATGATTTTTAAAATCATCACTGATTGATTCATTTTTAAATGCTAAAGAGAAGTCCTTTATACTAGTATTGGGTGCCCATTCTATTTATGCATTATACAAAAACATGGGGAAAATAATGCTCTAGTCATCATATAAAAATATTAGCCAAAATTCAGACATTGATTAGCATTAAAATAATTTTTATATGCAGTAAAGCATAAGCTGCTTTAAAAATCTTAATAATTTAATAAGAAATAAGTATATTATTAAGAGTTACATACATCCCGTTTTACTGAAAAGTTAAGTTTACAGAAACAAACGAAAATCCCACTCACCAAAAGCTTTGGAATGGAATAGTAGTATGTTCATATTATTGTTCATTTCTTTTCAGCTATAAATTCTATTCTAAAGACTTTAGCATAATTAGCTTGATTATAGCAAATAGTTTATTCAAAGGTATCAAAGACACCTGTAGGTCACTAGCGGTTTCACTTAACTAAGAACTAAGATCCTCTACTGGGCTGGAAAAGTTAACTGTGGTCTGAATGATAAGGCCCTTAAGCAATTCATTACATAATACTTTATTTGCAGCTGTGTACACTTAAATTAGCTTGAGTTAATTTAAGTTAAAATAACTCAAGACCAAAAGTAGCCTGCCATGCTTAAAACAGACTAACCTAGTTCAAGGACAACATTAGGATTACCAAGTGAAAGGTGGCTTTTCTTTTGAGACTAAAAGCACTTAACAATAAAGACATTTTATGTAACTTTTGCCAGGGCTCCCACCTTTGATAAACAGAGATGTTAGAGGGAGAGACAGCACTTAAAATGGCCCCCATTCACCTTTACAAAATATCTTCTGTTTCCCAGAGACTCTAAGTTTGTATGTAGCTCAAGTTTAAATCAATTATTAAGTGAGCACAGCCATAATGAAGTTTGGAATCTTGAAACTTTACAAAGTTGGCAAACAGAAAAACGAGCAGCAACTATACCAGTTCTCTAATTTTACTAGTTTCCAGAAAAGTTTGAACAATATCTATTTAGTTTAAGGAAGGGTTTGTTCACTATTGTTACTCTAGCATCTAGAACTGTGTCTGGCACATATTAGGCACTTGGTATTTCTAGAAAAATGATTAAAATGAGAATATGGAAATTTCTAAAAGTATTTATGGGGGAAAAAGTATGCTTTTAACTGTAACTTTGAACTATAACATAACTATCAACACCTCAATTACCTGGGGTCAAATGTCCAATTCCAAACTGCTAATATTTTATATTAGTTTTTCTTCTTTCCAACCATTGCTTACAAAGAAGAATCTTATTAGATAAAGTTTCCTTTATTTTTTTATCTTTTCAAAGCACACATGTGCATTCATATGTTAAATATAATTTTTGACAGAACATTCAACACCTGATCATACTATTGATTCCTCTCTATTTAAAAGATAGTTTTGATTAGGATAAAGTAACTGTTAGTAACATACACACACAGAAAATCATTTATTGCTGAAATACAGCTCTTTAGGGTACAACATGGCATATCCTTTATATATAATAGTACCATGATGCTCCCTTTGAAACTGAGCTTACAATAGGGATACTCTATTAACAACATCGATTAATAAAATGCAGGTAGAATTTTTGTGCCTGGATGGCAAAAATTTAATAAGCAAAAAAATCTGTCATATGAAAAGCACTAGTTATATCTCTAAAGTGATACCTATTACTCTTATGTTTAATATGTCAATGGAACAAATATCTGAGGGTTTCTATATCATGTAATGGCAGTCTCAGTCTTGCCCTATCTTTTAAAATAGACATAAAATAGAAATGTAGAATATAGGCTACTCCAAAATCAAAATGGAAATGCCAAACATATTTCACAAATATATATAAAAAATAAAAACAAAACTCTACCTATCAAAATGACTTTTAATATTATGTATTAAATATCATGTTAATGGATCTATGGCAATTTTTATACAGCCCTTTGAAAAGCACCACATAGCTCTCTGCGTATTGTATGATTTTGACCCCTAGAAAAAAGTTACAGATCTGAAAAGACTTTTAGATTACTCATCTGAGGAAAAAAGGGAGAAAATAATGGTAACCAATAATATAAACTGAGATGTTGGACAAAATGGAAAAGGCATTTATAGTCTGTCAAATATGATGTTAATTTCTAAGTTAAACATTTTATTAGGAAAATAAAAAAAATCTGAGAAATAATACAATATAATTTTAAATGAAAAGAAGTACAGATGATAATAACCACCTTTAAGAGAACATACCAAAATTAATTCAATAACCCCCTGGGCAGGTTTAAAAGGGGTAATTCATAATAAATATAGCTATGTAAAGAATAATGGGGTATACATCACCTACAAAATTGATACCAACACGATGGATATATGTATAAAGCAGAAATTTTGGGGGGCCCATTGTAATTCTAGTTTTTTAAAATCAATAACAAAAATGTATATTATCATTAAAGAGAAATTTCTGTTGAAGTAGAAATTTTAAAAACTCCTGTTGTATATTTGTCTAACTCCCATCTTGGTTCTGTGCAGTAAAGCTGTATTATTGGGTGAAGTAATATTATAAATGAGGTTCTTCTGGAACTTCCTTTGGAAAACTTGCTGGCCTAGGTACATGACACAGAGCTATACTTTATAATACAATTGTGGAAGTCATAACAAAGTCCCAATAAATTTAATTGTTCATAGTAATCCTTTCACATAAAATGCAATTACCACAAAATGATATCACAGCATTACGGAAATATTTTAGATCACATGTTATAATCAAGTTGGAATAAATGGAGATTGAAACCATAGACATTATGTTAACATAGAATGCTGTACCATAAAGACATGGCTATAGCTAAAGATAATGTGAGACCTAACAAGTTCGTCAGTAAATTACCTGAATTTTATGATAGATGAATGATATCATACTCATCATTTTTTAAAACACAAAGCTAACCAAATATCAAAAATTCTTTTGTTAGTAGATAAGATTAGTGCCTCCTCCACTCCTTATAACCTGCTCCTCAGGCACTCTCCAATCCCTCCCAAGCCACAGGACACGTGGCACACTGGAGACAGTGGGAATCACCACCTATCCCCGCCCATCTGCAGCCTTCCATGTACACCAGTGCACAGCTGCTCTGACTCTGAGAATATGATACCATTCATCTAAGGAACACCATGTGTAGAAAAAGCTATTTCTGCTCCATAATATCCCCTAAATAATGGTATGCTTCTTGAGGAAACATATGAAGAAATAAATCCATTTCACTTTTAAATAAATTTTAAATGGCATTTACCAAAAAATGGTATTTTTTTGTTATGATCCACAAAAGCAAGCACTGCAATAAATCTAATTCAAGAAATAGATTTGGGAGTAGACAAAAGTGCAGATTCTTCTAATCCATAATTTAAAGTGCCTGCTCTAATTTATAAACATTTAATTAGATAACAAATACCAAGCAAAAGAGACTTAAAAATCACAACTCACTTCAAAGCTCCATTATAAACATGAGAAGGGGTAGGGGAGTAGAAATACAGCCTTTTGTGTTTATAAATACCTGAAAGTCTCAAGTGACTGACCAGAAAATACACATGAAGAGTAAGAAAAGCAAAGCCTTTTGACTTCACTGTTATGTGGAGATTATTTTGTAAAGACAAAAAACAAAGAAAAGGCAAGAAAGAAACTATTAATATAGGTATAATTTAAAAAAGAAAGTTATACAAACCAAGAAAGAGTACTATATACATACTCCTATTCACATTTTAGAAAGATTATAAAACAACATTTTTGTTCATTAGATGAAAAGTCTCTTCAAAGGTGCTTTCTGTTCCTCTGTGAGTGAAAGAACCTCTTACCCCAAAAACCACAAAGTGAAATCTACCACCAAAGAATGCTAATAAATAGCAGACTTCCTGCTTCAGTTGGTAGAACCAGCTGCCGATTTATTAGGCATCTACAACTGCAGGTTCATCCTGTTCCGGTTTATAGGATACTCATTTGCAGCAAAGGCTACTTAGAGAAATTTCACACCTGCTGATGTGGGTTGGACTACATCTTCCTATAACTCGTTCCAGCATTCTTCCAACAGATGTGCATGCTGTTTCTCCTGGGAAACAGCACATGGAGTCCAAGCACTTGATACCTGCATTTGTTTCAGTAAGCTGGAGGAGTTGAAGCAGAAAAACAATTCGTTATTTACAGATTTGGACTTCTAAAAAGCATTAAAAAATTACAACAAGCACTTTAAAACTAATGTATATAAATGTACATTTTTCTATAATACGGGAAATGTATGAAAAGCTTTAATTTACTAGAGTATAATCATACAAAATCATTTAAAAGCCTTGTGTCTTAAATTAGAGGTCTAGTAAAATAATTATATAAAAATAAGTAGCTGGATATTATTTAAATCTGCAAAGATTTAGGCTTTTAATATTTTATTTTAATGATTTATTTTGGTCAAAACGATTTATGTCAACCACTCAGAAATTTAATGAATTCTAATTCTTCACATAGTTTTTGTTTAGGTGAAATGCTCCTACAATTTCACTTAAAAATGGCTAGCGATTGAGACAAGGGGAGCATGGACTATCTTGAAGGCTGGGAAGTAACAACCGGGCAGGACCTAACCCCAACCTTCAATAATAACACAACAATAACAGCAACAGTAGCAAACACTTCATGTAGGGTTTACTATGTCCCAGGTTCTAAGCACTCTACATATATCCACTCCATAATTATTTTTGCAAAAAGCATCATTTACCTTAAATTGCTAAACAAGTATTAAGTGCCAACCATGCCATAATCAGCTCATCCTGCTTTTTAACAGTTAACTGATGGCACATGGATTAAAATTCATTCAACAAGTGAATAGTACTATTATGATTTGAAATTGAATTACTTTCTGAAAGTATGCAAGATTTATATTAACTCAGGCATAAATGGCCCAGCAAGATAACTTAATTCCGTACTACTGACAATTTTAATTGTGCCAAAATGAGGGGAAAAAATGGTATGACTGCATAGCTCAATGAATCCCAACCCTGGTTTTGCTAGTCAACGGTACTCCTAAATTTCTCAAGGGCTGTTGCTTAAAAACAAATCTTAGTTTAATTCACTTTCCTTTACATATATAACATCCTGTATAACAAATCTTTTCAAGACATAGAAGAAGGAGAACAATAAAAATAAATTCATTAGAAGATGCACTTCCACAAAGGTTGGGAATCACCGTGTGTTGGGTGTAGGCATGGCAACAGAGGACATGTGTGGAGATGCTCACAATGGACAGAAGAGACAGATGTGGTGGAACAGAAATAACCTGGCATTCTGAATGTCAGCAACTGGTGATGTACTACAAGACCCATGCTCGGAGTGATTCTGTCCAACACCACGCAGTGAGAGGACAGAACATGGTTCCTATCTAGCAATTGCCTGCTTGCTCCAATGTCCTAGGATCTGCTAAACATTAACAGCGAGCCACAGTTTACTTGTTCCTTCACTACAATACTCTTGGTTTAGGACTGTTTAGGGCACTGTTTCTTAAACTGTGTTTTGTAAGATGTTTACAGACATTTCATGAAAAAAATTTCTGTGGCCAATCAAGTCTGGGAAACACTAATTCAATGAAGCTCTAAACAGACTTTTTTTTTTTTTTTTTTTGAGACAGAGTTTTGCTCTGTCACCCAGGCTGGCATGCAGTGGCGTCATCATAGCTCACTGCAATCTCTAACTCCTGGGGTCACGCAATCCTCCTGCCTCAGCTTCCTGAGTAGCTGGGACTACAGGCACATGTCACCAAGCCAGGCTAATTTTTTATATTTTTAGTAGCGATTTGGTCTCATTGTTGCTCAGGCTGGTCTCGAACTCCTGACCTCAAGCTATCCTCCTGCCTTGGCCTCCCAGAGTGCTATGATTATAGGCGTGAGCCTCCACGCCGGGCCCTAAACAGACTTTTTAAGTTAAGGACTATCAGTAAGTCAGGACAAATGGTCAGTCTCCATGGGGGAATGCTTGAGATATCATAATTCTCTCACTTGTTTTCTCAGTGAACCCTCTCCCCACTGCCCTGCCTCTTAACCAGGAAACATTAATCAACACCAGAGGGAACATAAATACTCAGAGAAATAGGGTGCAAAATGCAGGTATAGGTAACAGGATCTCATCGGTTTCCCTGTTTCCTTTTTGGGTCCCTGGGCTCCAGTTTCCCTAATCTAGAGTTCCCCCTGTGCAGCAACCAGGACTCTAGCACTCCTCTCTACTCAAAGGATAAAGTCCAACACCCCAAGAAGCCTTGGGGGCCCAGTATAACCTGACCCCAGGCTCCCTTTTCTACCCTACTTCCCAGTGCTCCTGTACAGTCCCCACTCCAGCCAACCAGGCAGTGTTCCCTGCCCGTGGGCACGTGTCAGGGCCTGCCACCAATTAGGGTCAGAATGCTGACCCCTAAACCAAGGTTCAGTTTACACCCCATCATCTCCATGAAAATTCCCTCACCTCTCCCACAATGAGTAATCTCTTTCTCTCTGGATTCTATGCCACTGCTCGTTTGTACCACTTCGTTTGTATCACTTCAATGGCACAAGCACTAAAATTCAACTTATATTTATTGAGCAAGGTACTGGGCCAGTTTCCACAGGGGATAGCAACCCTGCCCTTAATCTAGTGAGTTAAAGGGAAAGAAGGAGGTGGGAGAGAAGACAAGTCAGGAACACACACTAATAGCAGTTATATTAACGAAATGCTTACCACGTATGTGCCAGTTACTCTGTAAAATGTTTTTCATGGATTGTCTCATCTAACTTTCAACAACTCTTTGGAATAGACACCATAATCATCCCCATTTTATAGATGTGGGAACAAAGAGGTTAAGAATTTGTGCAAGGTCACCCACTCAAGCTGGGCTTGAATCATTGGTTTCTCTGATTCCAGAGCCCAAACCCTTTTACCATGCCGCCATCCTGCCATCTTCTAACTATGGTATGAGGCAGACTACTCAGAAAAGAGGACAGAAGGCTCAGATCCAGCTGTTGGTGCTACTGGTGAGGGCATGAAAGATTTGATGAAAAAGATGGCATTTAAAATACATCTTGAAAGGATAGGGGTATTTCAATAGCTGGTGATGGGGGAAAAAGGGCATTCCAGGCTGAGGGAAAGGAATGAGTAATTGTATGTGGGCAGAAGTGTGGTGTGTATTCAGCCCAGACTTAAGTGTAAGGGGTAGTTGTTACTACTGCCCCCATGCAAGAAGACCAGTGTGACTCTAAGTATGATCCACGGATCAATGTTAATCCATAAACACTGTTTCTGGCCCATGAAGAAATATGCATTTCTGTTCTGTGAGAGTAAGAGTTTAAAAAATCCTATAGCAACTTGACAGAATACTTTTACAAATGGTAAATTTAATAATAATTTAAAAATTGGGGCTTAGTTTATATACCTCTTAAATTTCATTTCCCTAGTAATTCATTTTTATTGTATTTCCAAAAGTATTGGTCCATGATGGACTGGAAATTAAATACAAGAAAACAAAACAAGAAAACAAATTGGTCCTTAGCCACATTTATTTGGGGAACACTGAACTGAACTGGAAACTCGAGAGAGTATGTATCTTGTCTCATACTTCTTAGTTTTGATATGTGCTTTTCTCAAAGCTGTTGCTCAAGCAACTGACAGTGGTTCATTGAAGATGACATCTAGAAGGTCACCAGCATTTGAGTGTCCATATATGTACAGGATATGTACAGGTTAGGTCTGGATCTGACCTTAAGTAATTATCTTGTTTTGCATTCATCACCTCTCACTTTAAAACCTAAGGACAGGTATTAAAGTACAGACAACCCAAGAAAGAAAAGAAACATCTTGAAATGTAAAAAATATTATAAAGAAATGACCTCTACAGATCACCATTCAAACTAAACAAAATATATTTCCTTTTTTCTCTAAAGAGGAAAAAAACCCAGCTACTTTGAAAATATTGAATACTGGTCAACTGTGTTTCTGTGGAGCTATCTACAGAAAATGCTCTAGCAAACCTCCAAGCTGTACTACTTTCCCATATACACATCTTTCATCTCAATACTCAGGAACTGGGAGCTTAGCCAGGCTACCCGTGGCCACCGCTGCCAGTGTCACTGAGGGGTGGGAATGGAGTGGAGCATTTAGATCTCATTTCATTCAAAGTCAGGAGAGGGAATCCTTACATTTTTGGGGAGGGCTACTTATAAATACTAAAAAAAAAATAAAGGATAGTAAGGGAGTGAGACCCTACTTTGTGGCACCAAGAAGTAAATTTTAACTTACTAGAAGTTTTGATTTATTGGTAAGCTTTGCTTTCTACCACACTTGCTTTCCAGGAATGATCACATAATTCAGTGCTAGAGAGGCTGCCGAGAAAAACAACTATGTATATTCAACATGACTGCACATGGCTAATAAAAATGTTTATCTTTACAGAACTTGTGTTTTGAACTAAATTCTAGCTCACTGCTCTTATTTCCATTATTTTCATATCAATAACAGTAAACACTTAGAAGTTTCTCTTATTGCTTAACAAAATATCTTCCTTAAATCTTATAAATGTTAGAAAATTATCTTAAATTTCTAACATTTTTTTAGTTGTGCCTATGATGTTCTTTCTAATCAAATAAAGTTTTTTTAATGTGTAGGTAAGAACTGTCAAACTATTAACCATATTAGGCCTTTTGCCCTTAAAATTGCTTTAATTAATTAATTATTTAATTTCTTTTTTAGACATAGGGTCTTGCTCTGTTGCTCAGGCTGAAGTGTAGTGGTGCTATCATAGCTCACAGCAGCCTCAAACTCTGTGGTCCTCCTACCTCAGCCTCCCCAGTAGATAGGACTACAGGCGTACACCACCATGCCAACTAATTTTTTAAATTTTTTGTAGAGACAGGGTCTCAATATGTTGTCAGGTTGGTCTCAAACTCCTGGGCTCAAGTGATCCTCTCATTTTAGCATCCCAAAGTTCTGGGGTTACAGGCATGAGCCACTGTGCCTGGCCTCAGAATTGTTTTATATACATAATCAAAGTGAGCATAATCAAAGTGAGCACCCTGTATAACCTTAAAGAAGGTACATGGAAAGAAGCCTTCAACTGTAATTATGAAAAAAAAGAAAAGAGGTTTGTGTTTAAGAAAAT